AAATAGATTTGCCTGTCCCACTGTTTTGGCCAAGCTTGACCCACTCTACCATGCTGCACTGCGTTATATATCAAATGCACCCTATAGGACTCATCATTGCAAACTGTATAGCCTAACTGGATGGTCCTCACTTACCATTCGTAGGATGCAGCATTGGTTTTTATTACAATACATTGCATCACATTTGGGGTGAAGTGTCTCAGGGACACAACGACATGCTGACTGCAGTGGGGTTTGAACCTGTGACCCCCTGATCCCAACACCTGTGCACAACTCACTGTGCCAAACGCCACACATATTATATTAATGTATAAAGCCATTTTAGGAAAGCTTCCACTGCACATATGTGCCAGATTTGCTCCAGTGTGTGACTCTTACAACCTCAGACCCAGTGCCTGGATACGGGTCCAGTTTCCTGCTGTGCGGACTGAGGCGTTAACGACTGTGTAGATCGCTCTTTACTTTGCGTATGGAGCTCTCCGCCCTATACTATCCCCAGTTTCCTTCGGCACACTTTCTTCTGTAGTCAGTATACATCCTACTACTCCCCAACACACTACCTCCCTCGTGTGGCCAATACAGAAAGAGGTGTACGACACTATAGGTCAACTGAGAAATTACTTGCCCTCTAGCTGTACAGGGCTGTGTTTACCTTTCTGTCCCTAATGTAAGAGTCTTCCGACGATAGTCCCAGGCGACACTGAGTTTTTCCCTCTTTCTAATTGTATAGACATCCCTCCTCAACGAATCCACAAAAAACAGTGCCCCGGATCTATCTAAGTACCTATAAGAACGCGATACTTTAGGTCTCTTCTCTCTTCCATCAAGCGGGCAATATATTGTCGACCGTCTGAAACGTTTTCGAAGAGGTCTCGTTGGTATTACCAATTTTGAGATATTCATCAATGTTCATTTGGTCACATACGATTTTACCACCGAGGCAAAGTTCAAGGATACTCAAAGTTTCCCAAATTGTACTAAAGGTTGTGTAAATCCCATTTGTTTCTTACATAAATTGGTCGTATTTTTTGTAACTCTAGTTTAGATTAAATGTTACGACTGGACCGGTTCTTCCGTCGTTGCAATGTGTATTGTGTTTGTATATTTTATGTCTCTTGTATTGATTTGTTGTCGGCAGTGATGTAGCACGTGTACTCCTGTCATCTTCCACGCGATGAATAATGACGTTCTCGGTCACCACCATTCCTGGAGTCTGTTGAAGTTGAATTTTGTACGACGGGAGTCAAAATCCGGGCACTAACT